AAGTACAAGTCCAATTTCATTCCCTTTCATGTGATTATCTGTACTTGCCACAGAATTTTTTGTTTCAAAGACTAGTCATTCCCTATGGACAGTCTTTTCTCACATGTGAAAACTTAGTTTTCCATATCTGGATGATTGATTAGATCTCTGTAGCATGAATTCTAGTTGGTCTTAATAAAAACCCAGAGACAGATATTGAGGTTAAAGCTGAAGATCAGAGAAGCAAATCATCCAGCCAGTAGAGAGTTCTCACCTCTACCAAGGCTCAGACCAAAGGGGCAATACTGTCCTCAGCGTGACTGTACACTGCACTGCTCTCCACCAAACCTCAGGCTGCCTGAGCTCCTGCCTCCTCTCACCTTATATTCCTCTCTAGTGTTGGAATTAAAGGCGTACGATCCCAAGTGCTGAGATCACCTTTGTGTGAGCTTTGTTTCACTTTTAGACAGATTCAATCTCATGTAGCCCAGGGTGGCCTTGAACTAAGAGAGATCCAACTGCCTCTGTCTCCTGATTGCTGGGATTAAAGATATGTGCCACCACTCCCTGGCCTCTATGGCTAACTAGTGTAGCTTCTGGGATTAAAGGTGTGTACCGCCACTGCCTGACCTCTGTGACTGACTAGTGTGGCTAGCTTTGCACTCTGATCTTCAGGCAAGCTTCATTTGTTAAGTCATAAAAAAATATCACCATAGATCTCATTGTTGTATATATCTGTCCTCATGACAGTACCAAATTATCCGTCTTTTCATTCCTTTGTATTAAGCTTTGAAATTGGAAAATTTTAGCCACTTAATTTTGATATTCTTTCAAGTTTATTTTGATTATTCTGCGACAATTTACCTTCCATGTGAATTTTTGGATCAATTTGTCCATTTCTTGAGGAAAATATCCCTATCTGAGATTCTGATTCGATTGTATCAAACCTGCAGATCATTTACAAAAGTATTGCCATCTTAACAGTGTTAAATCTTCTAATTCGTGACCATAGGATACTTTCCCATTTCATTATATCTTTATTTCAATGGTATTTATGTTTAAGGGATATATCCACACAGTATTCACTGATCAAGTCAGTGTTAATTAATATTTCCATATCCTTATTACTTTATTTAGAGACTTCAGACTCTTCTGGCTATTAACAAGTGATATATAGGATATTATAAACTATAGTTACATCACTGTGCTGTTGAACACTAGAACTTGCTACTTTTACCTAACTACATTTGAGAGGAACATTTTGATAACCTTTTCATATAGTTGTAGATACAATTTTTCACACTGTACTAAAATTCAGTTGATAGTTATTTTAATTGATTGTGATGAATCTAAAACAATAACACTCAATTTTCATGCAGTTACACTAATAAGTTTATAAATGTAATGCTATATGTTGTCATTTGGAAAATGTTAATTCCCTAATTATGAAAATTGTCCAAATGTTGACACATTGATTTATACAATAAAAATAATTACATTTGTTATATATTAAAATTTTACCAAAAATATTGGGTTTTGGTAATAAAACTAATCTCAGAAAAAGCTTTAAATGTATTTTGGTAAGATATTACCTCATAGTGATGAAAATGTTGTTTTGATACTCTTACATTTGGGCTAGAAAGAGGGCTCAGAGGTTAAGAGCACTGGCTGCTTCTCCAGAAGACCTGGATTTGATTGCCATGGAAACTCACAACTATCTGTAACTCTAGTTCCAGGGGATCCAGTGTCTCTGTCTGTCTTCTACAGCTACCAGACACATATAAAGTGCATAGACATACATCCCGATAAAACACGAAATATGAAATTAAAATAAATCTAAAATATTTTAATTCAAACATTTGCTTGAAATCTTAGGTTTTAACATTGTAAAAATAATGCCACTGTTCTTAATATAACAGCTTTCGTTTGTTAATTTTGGCTGAAAGGTTTAGCCAGATATGTAAATTTGAATGCCTTTGCTTTATTATTTATTCTCTAAAGTAAAAAATACTTAAAAAATAAAGCACTAATTTAACGATTAAAAAAGAATTTAAACCTTCAGAGGTATACATAAAAGCCAAAGAGAACAAAAAAATGATCATCTAACTTTGTCAATGACTCACTAACAGTCTTAAGATCAAGTTAGAGATCACTGTTGGCGCCTGTTTTCCTAAGACTGTTACAAAGATGTTTGGTAAAAAGGATTGAATCGAGTATGTTGTAGAATAGTTACAAAGGGCCTGCATAGATTCCTTAGAATAGTTATTCTGGCCCTCAATTCATTTTTCCTAACAAGTGTTGTCTTGGAAAGGGTGATTGAAGTCAGGTGTCTGAAGGCCAGGAAGGAGTAAAAAGACAAATATCAGAAAATGCTGAAAAAAAATAGAACAACTGAAAAATCATTAAAGAAATGAACATTCTCTGCAACCAGAGAAAACTCATTTGGAAAATTATGTAGAATCGGAAGAACCAACTAAAGTTTTTTTTTTAATTTATTTAAAGAAATTCTTTAGTATTATTTAGAAGGTAACATATAACTGTGGGAGAATCATGTTCTACAAAAGTACTAGTAATAACAGATATAAAAGTTTGTTGATTATTTATGGACATGATTATAAATTATGATTTATTTTACAGGTTGAAATCTGAAAATCCAAATCACAAAATTCTCCAAAATCCAAACATCTTAGGATACACATAATTCCACAAGTGGGAAAATCCTACATTTGACCTCATAGGACCAGTCACAGTCAAAACAAAAGTGTACTAAAAAATATATAAACTGGCCGGGCGTTGGTTGCACACGCCTTTAATCCCAGCACTTGGGAGGCAGAGGCAGGCAGCAAGAGGTGGGATGTGGAGGACAATGAATTCAAAGCCAGCCTTGGCTACATACCAAAACCCTGTCTAAAAACTAAGGGGAAAGCCTGAAAAATGACGGGATAGGTAAAAGGGCTTGCTGTCAATCCCAATGACCTGAATTTGATCCCCAGGACCCATATGGTAGGTGGGGAGAACCAACTTCGGCAAGTTGTCCTCTGAACTCCACATGTGCACAGTGCCTATACACATTCATACACATACAAATAAATAGAAGGAAAAGGAAGAAAGGAGGGAGTATAGAAGAGATATATACAAAATTTCCTTCATGCTCTGTATTGACACAAAACAAATGAATTTTGTCTTTAGATTCTTTCTAATTCTCAATATGTCTCAAAGATAGGCAAGTATTCAAAAATCTAGAAAACTCTGAAATACTTCTGCTCCTAACCATTTGAGGCACTCTGTTGTATAGCAGTTTCCTCCATATTAAAACTTTCCATCTTGGAAGGAAGTTCATTAAAACACAAGATATTAAAGGGAATGCAACAATAGGATATTTTAAGACAGGATGTATATTTAAAGGCAAGGAAAACAGCAGGATATTCTAAGGGGGGGCTCATTAAGACACAGGATGTTTGTAGGAAGGTAAAACAACAGGATGTTCTAAGGGAAAGTAAAACATTCCTGCTGCGGGGAAAATCCTTAAACTCAGCAAGTGAACAACTCAGTGTCTTCAGGAAGTCCCTGAAACTGACCAGATGCACTAGGTCCTTCCCTCTCCAAGCATATTTAAGCAGTAAGAACTTCTGAGAGACACTGTCAACCTGAGCTGCCTGGAAGAAGCAGAGATCAGCAAGCTGCCTAGAAGAGACTCAGAACAACTAAGCTAACTCAAAAGGACACTCTGCATTCTGTGAGATGCTTGTAGCTTGTGTGACACACTCCAGATTTACAGCTTTGATGAGCTTTCACTCATGCTGGGTGGGCTTTTGGTGATGGCGCTGTCTTTGAGTCATTTCTGCTCCCATAAGTAACACCTCAATGATATTTCTGTAAGTGATGCCAATAAAATGGTTCACCAAATTGGCCTTTGGTAGTATCTTTACTTTGATCTATCTTCAGTCCCATATCTGGCATGAGTAGATGGTTCCTCATATCTCCCTAGGAATAGTGTTGTGCAATAATTAATCCAGAATTTTATTTGTGACTGATTTAGACATTTGTTATTTTGCAGCTTATGGACTGAAGTGAGAACATTCCATGAACAAAAAGTTTACTTTAGATTACGAACTCTTGCTGGATATGGTGGCACATATTGTAATCCCCGCTGATGCAGAACAGAGTTTTAGGCCAATCTTGGCTATATAAGGAGACTCTGTTTCAAACCAAAACACAACATAACAAATCATTCTGAACTCTATTCAAATAGTGGTTTAAAGCAGGGATTAGGGTAAAGGAATCCATCCAACTGTTACTGAGATTTAGTGACACTTCATTATGTTTATTGTAGTTATTCTGTACCTTAAAACATTTTAAACAGGGTCTTCCACTGTAGTTCAGGCTGCCCTTCAATTCTCCTGCCCTCAGCATCCCAAGTGCCAAGATTGCAAATGCATAGCACCAAATCATGCACCACCATGTCATGTTACTGCACCAAGCTACCTCAATTATGCATTCAACAGAAGGCAAATAAAACTGTCTCACAAAGTATGGTGTATGTCATCTGAAATAAGATTCTTTAGACAGTGATAGTCAAGATTTACTATTGAATTAATAAATGAAACAAATTTGGAAACTCTTTTGCTCAAAATAAAACCAGTTAGTTGATGCAACATTGTAGTTTCTGTTTTATTCAGCCATGACAGCGATCATGGACGTAGGTTCAAGCTCAAAGGAGGCAAGTATATTAATAAGAATCTTATCAATAGAGGCAGAAGATTTTCAGTCTAGTTACAAGCATCACAACAGAAGTTTCAGAATATATAATAAATGCTAGTAAATGCATTACAGGGTAGTAAACATAGTGATGTGCTTATAGATATTAAAATGTTGGAAGTCTATTGATAGAGACTGGGATGACCTTCAAATTGTAAGTGAAATTATTTTTTCTCTATGAGAAAACTTGACCAGTTAGGTTAGACCAGGAAAGAACACTAATGAGCAGTAACAGAAAATGTTAAACTTTACATTTTCTTTAGGAGACTTTGCAGGTGATGACTGTGAAGCATTGCTTCTGTTGTATGAGTTTGAAGTTAAAACCAAAACAAGTGATCCATCACTGTACAACTTCCTGGATTCGGTATGGAAAATGCCTGATCTAGAAAGCAGAACACTTGAAACAATGGCATGTAAGTGCTTTATTTGTGCTTGTGGAAGGCCGGTACTCATTTAGATCCTACTGTTTTCTCTCTTCTGACCTTGAGATAGGAAATGATTTTTTTCTAATAGTACATCGTTTCTTCCTGTCTGATGACATACTTTTTGTTTTGTTTTGTTTTTGTTTTTGTTTTTCAAGACAGGGTTTCTCTGTGTAGCTTTGGAGCCTATCCTGGCACTCGCTCTATAGACCAGGCCGGCCCCGAACTCACAGAGATCCGCCTGCCTCTGTCTCCCGAGTGCTGGGATTAAAGGCATGTGCCACCAACGCTCGGCGTCTGATGACATTCTTAAACTATTTTGAACTATAATCATTTGTACATGTATCTTTTTCACCCTATAAGATTGTAATATCATTAAGGTCATGAGCAATAGTTACATATATATCTGTTGTACTGCTAAATCTCAGTGAAGAACATTGCTCATAATAGGTGCTCAAATGTATTCTATATGTGGAACTTAATTATGTGATTACATGATAGGGCAAGCTCAAACCTTGGAAAGTTTTATTTAGATAGCTAGAAATGATAACTAGCTGTTTTGATGATCAAAGATGACTCAACCTTAGTAATTTGCTAAAATGTGTAGAGAAATTTGGAAATATTTTGATACAGTATTTACAGTGTGTGTGTGTGTGTGTGTGTGTGTGTGTGTACATGTGTGAAAGTCAGAGGAAAACTTGCAGGAGTCAGTTCTCCCTGCAGAATATGGGCCTCAGGGATTGAACTCAGGTCATCAGGCTTGATGGCAAGTACTTTTACCCACTGAGACATCTTACTCCCCTACAAATTTGGAAGTATTTTAACACAACTGTTACTTTCAAATTTCTGGTTAAGCTGTAGTATAGGACTTGTGAGGCTCAAAGCCATCTGGGGAATATCCTGCAGGAAATGCCGATTATCTTCCCTTTTGCCTGTTACTCTCCTCAAAGGCATGAGCATGATTAGTAAAGGTATTAAGTAGGCTCCAGTACACTACAGTTGCCTTGGATTTTCTAGAGCCATGAGACCGATGAGGTGCACTCTGTAACTACTGCTCCTTATATAATGGAGCTGCTCTACAGGCTTGTTGAATGCATCTGGAAGTCTTTGGGACAGTTTTCTCTAACACAAGGCTTCCTGTTTTTTAGCATCTGGCAACAACAAAACAGTATAATATAGTGTTTTCTGGCTTTGATTAGCAGCCTTTTATTGATCTGCTTCTATTTCTTTCTTAGCTTGCCCTTTCTTCGCTGTGGTTCATAAGATAGTTGCATCACCTATAGGAATGTGTACATGGTTACAGAGCAGTAAGTTCTGTCACTGTTTGTTGAAGAAAGAATGTATCCTGAAGCCAGAGGTGGTGGTACACACTTTTAATCCCAGCACTCGGGGTGGGGTGGGGAACAGAGGCAGGGGTATCTCTGAGTTTGAGGCCAGCCTGCTGTATAGAGGATCGAGTTCCAGGACAGCCAAGGCTACACGGAGAAACCCTGTCTCTAAAAACCAAAAAAAGACCCAAAGGAGTACTGTGCCTGGAAATAAGAGATTCTCTGTGAAAGCATCTGTAGAGTCATAGTTTTATAATTGGTGTGTGTGTGTGTGTGTGTGTGTGTGTGTGTGTGTGAGAGAGAGAGAGAGAGAGAGAGAGAGAGAGAGAGAGAAAAAACCTTGTTCCATTAGAGAATGCAAGTTGCAGTCCTTTGAAGATGGTGATGAATAAGATTATGGTGGTGTTCACAGCCTTTTTCCTTCCTTTCCTATAGTACTAGCTATGGATAAGCCTGCACACTATCCTACTATTGCACAGAAGGCCTTGAAAAAACTTTTAGTGATCCACAAAAACAAAGAGCCAATTGATGTTTTGAAATACAGGTTAGTAAATGTAATTTGACACCTAAGTCAGATTTTTTGGAAAGCCAGAAAACTGTAGTTGGTGTCCCATAACTACCCACCATAATCAACTAGGCCAACATAGAAGATGGTAGAGAAACTAATGTATGAACTGCTCTGTAGTGTGAATTGTATTAGACACCAGGGAATATTAAGTAAGATCAAGAAATCTACTGTTCCCAGGGGAGAAAAAGAGGGATGTATCTTGATTTTCTTTGTCTAGTCGTATGATAGGTCTATGTAATTCGTGTAATTTGCTAAATACCTTAAATGATATGAAATTAGTAGCTACCACTCAACTTTGACTTTTTTTCCTATACTTTCTTCTGGCTTTCTAAAACTTTTCTTTAAATATCAATAATAAATGGTATTTTTTTCTGGAAAAATTCTGTTCTGAGAAGTGAGATTTCCACTTTTCCCAATTTAAATCCTAGTTCCTTGTCCACTTAAAGAGGTAGCAGATCCTTTAAATGCCCATCAATTGGAATCAGCTCATAAAATATGACAATGGCATAATGTGGCCAGTAAAATGCACAGTAGATGAAGGTAGCTGCTTTCAAAACTGAAGATCTGAGTTCAATCTCCAGGACCCACATTGTGGAAGGACAGAACCAACTCTGGAAAGTTGTCCCCTGACCTCTATACAAGCAGGCCCATACACACACACACCCGCATGCACGCACGCACGTGCAAGCAAGCAAGCAAGCAAGCAAGCAAGCAAGCAAGCAAGCAAGCAAGCAAGCAAGCAAGCAAGCAAAAACAATAATAAGTTAAACAATAACTTCATGAGGGAAATGAAGTTGTCTAAAAAGACAAGCACATGCATGTTCAAAGGAAGGACTGATCGACCCCTTTTACACCTTCAAAAAATCTATCTTCCAAAGGTAGAAGCAAGAGAAAATGGAGGAAAGTAGAAATACTGTGAAGCTCTTAGTGTGGATGAGACTCAGATTTGACTTCTTGGCCATGGGGCCATTGATTTCTTTCCTTACAGGATGACTTTTCTCTCTTGTTTTTCAGTGAGTGCATGCATAATTTGATTGACCTTATGGTGTCAGATGGAATATCAAGTATAGCTCCGTATTCTCTGAAAGAAATTTGGAGCCATTTAAAAAATGCTCTAAGCCTCATTAGCCAAACTGTAAGTCAAAGAGCAGTATTACTTTGAGCTGATTTTAAGGAACTGAAGTGTCTTGCATGTTAGAATTCATATAGAATGATGCTTTCTGATATGAGTTTTATGACAAATTCACATTACAATATAAATATCCACTACAAACTATCTCTGTTTATGATATATAATTAGTTAATGATAGGAATTTTCTAGTATGTTTACTAAGGATTAGGTAGCAATAGCAAGACTACTGGGCATCTTGAATTGTTTTGTAATTTTAGAGCCTGATATAATTCTTTCCCCTATGATTACATTAATTTTGTGAAAAGGCTTATTATTATTCCCACCATTTCTCAGAGGCAGGTGATAAAGTAGAAGGAACAAAGCTCTGTATTTTGGTCCCTTTCAATTTTTTTTCTTTTCAGTGAAGGTTCCTTTGGTTCCTGTGAGGTTCATCTATGTTATGACATTACCAGTATTTCACTTGTTTGTTTGTTTATTGCCTGCTCATGGGACACTTTTCCTCCTACTGGGTTGTCTCATCCAGTCCTGATATGAGGGTTTGTGCCTGGTCTTATTGCATCTTGTTATGCTGTGCTTGGTGGATATTCCTGGGAGGCCTGCTCTTTTCTGAAGGGAAACAGAGGAACAATGGATCTGAGGGAGAGGGAAGATAAGGACTGGGAGGAGGGGAGACTGTGGTTGGGATATATTGTATGAGAGAAAACAAAGAAAAAGGAAAAAAGAAAACCTAAATTCATTTTAAAAATTCAAGCTAAAAATAAAACGAATGAAATACTAGTAATATGATAGCATAGAATAACTTCAAAGGACTTTATGTACCAATATCTGCAAATCACAATCTAATATAGTAGGATGCAAATCTAGTGCAAACTATCAGTGACTAAAGAAATCTATAAATAATTCTCCTGGAACAATTCAATTCTGACCTATATCAATTAAATATGAAAAAACTTCAACATTGAACATTTTGGATCTCTTTTCTTTTGCAACCCTCTAGGAGGAGGAAAAAAATTCCACTTGCAGGCCAGGAGCTTCATCTACACCTTTAACTATGTTTGCTATATGCAAATTAAACATTAGACTTACTGTGACTACACACTGACTATTTGTCTGTCTCCATAGTCTCTGTGAGACACTTCTGCCAGTTTCTCTGAGGAACTTGGTTTTGCCACTTTTATTCCATTGCACTACAGTTTCAATCTCTATCTCTTAGGGAACGTGGTGTTTTCTACTTTTCTGATGAGTTTCCTGTCCATTATTACCCATACCCTGAAACATGACCATATGCTTAGCTTTTTATACAGAGAATAATTTAGTGGCACTATTAGCTCTTTATCTTTTATATATTGCTTTTTTTTCTTTTTGATTGAATGTGCTATGAATCTGCTTTGTTTCAAATGCTTGGGAGAAAGGTCTCCATTTATCATTTTTCATTATTTATTACGATGATAACTTTTATAAGCTACTTCCATACATTGGCAAAATGCCTATTACACAAATACAAAACTTCTGCCTAATATATCATGCTTTACAGTTTGCATTCATGTTTTACTTTTTTTTTTTTGGTTGTTCGAGACAGGGTTTCTCTGTGTACCTTTGGAGCCTATCCTGGTACTGGCTCTGGAGACCAGGCTGGCCTCAAACTCACAGAGATCTGCCTGCCTCTGCCTCCCGAGTGCTGGGATTAAAGGCGTGAGCCACCAACACCCGGCCATGTTTTACTTTAACATCCATTATGTCATATGACTCCCCCACAGTGATTCTATAGACAGTGCCACTATTATTTTATCTTGGGTTTACAATTGAAGACATTTTAAATTTCAAAAAAAATCAAGATACTAGTTTAGTAAAAAAATCATTTGTGGTTAACAAATGGGAGTCAGAACTAGAACCCAGGTCTTCTGACCTTATGTCTTCGTTTGGACTGTTATAACAAAATATTATAGACTCAGTGCCTTATAATTTAGGCTAGAAAGATGTTTCAATGAGTAAAAGTTCTTGCCACATAAACATGGCAACTTGAGTTTAATTCTGAGAACCTATGATAGAAGAAGAGAGCCAATTCCCGAAAGTTGTCATCTAACTTCCATAGATATGCTGTGATGTATGTGTGCCCCTTCTCAATGCACATGCATGCACACACATATATATATTAATAAAGAAATATTATAAGTAAAAATTTACTTGCCCTAGCTTTAGGGGCTGAGAAGTCCCTTAGATCAAGGCTCTAGTGAAGTCTCTAGTAAGAGCCTGCTCCCTCATAGAGGAGATCATTTCTTCCTGTAACCTCAGATGGCGAAAAAGACAAGGGATCTCTCTAGGATCTTTTATACTTACACTAACCCTGTTTCTGAGGACTGCCATTTTTATCTAATCACTTCCTGATCCAGACTCCTAATATTGGCACTTTGAAGGTTAGGACTTTAACATGTGACTTTGGGAGGTTATATAAACATTAGGTCAATTGTCCCTTAATTACTGGACTCATTCTACAAGAACATACGTCTTTACCAGTTTTTACTAGGAAATCTCGGGTCAAATGAGAAGGTTGTATCTCTATTCAGATCTAATGGCAATGAAAAAGCCCAATGGAGAGGGGACCACATGCTACTTAGGCATTCCTATGTATTCTAATAATAGGTTCATATTCTAGATTCTTTTTAAAGAATTAAGTTGTTTGGGTTGCTTCTTAATTAAATTTTTATTTTGAAATAATTATACTTAAGAAATAACATAGCAATCTTTTATACTCTTTACCCAGCTTTCTGCAATGATAATTCCTTACAAAACAATAGCACAACATCACAATCAAAAGCCAGGCATGATGACACACACTCATAATCCCAGCAAATAGGACCTGGAGTCATGAAAGTTAAGAGTTGAAGGCCATTCTCTACTTCATAAAGTTTGAATTCAGCCTGTGCTATATAAATACCTGCCTCAAAAACCTAAAATCGAAAAAACAAAATCACAACCAAAATGCTGGCATTGTTTCAGACAACACAGAGAACATCTCCATCAGCACAGATCCTTCTTCTTGCCTTTTAATGCTTCCCACATCTCTCTCATTCCCAGCTTTAAAAATAGCCAAACTACTAACATATTGCCAATTTCTGTAACTTTGTCATTCCAAGAATGTTATCTAAATGGAATCTCATATATAGATATAGATATAGACATAGATATAGATATCTTTACAATAGTGTACTATATAACCTGAAATCGTCTTTTTTGACTCATCATAATTCTTGAAGATTCATCAAGTTATTATGTGTCACAACAGGATAAATCTTGTATGACTCCACTTATGTGAAGTATCAAGAGTGGTAAAACTGATAAATATGAAAAATAGAATAGTGGTGGTTGCTAGGGACAGAGCCTACAGAATTTGAGGTTTTTTTTTTTTTTAAGATTAAAGCAGTTCTGTAGGTGGGTGGGTAGTGGTGCTAGTAGCACAGCAATGTGAATGTTAACTCTACACTTAAAAGTGTGACGATAGTAATTGTGTGCTGTAGTTTACCACTCTGTTAAAAGCCAGAGAAAAAATTCCTTAGCAGATACTGTAACATTTTGGTCATCTGAAAAATATCAAGTACTTGTTTTTTGTTGTTGTTCAGTGTAAGATATTCTGAGTTCTTAGTTTAGTGAATTTTTTTTTACTGAAATCTAGACATTTTTATGTCCTGTTGAGACCTTGAATCTCATTTAGCCTTGTGTTTTAGCTGCCTTTCTCTAATATCACTGTGTAGGGGAGGAAACTTGACCCTGATGCTTCCAAATAAAAGCCTGGCACTAGCATCCACACATATACATGCATCTCTCTCTCTTAATCTCTCTCTCTTTTAATCTCTCTCTCTCTCTCTCTCTCCCTCTCACTCTCTGTATGTGTCTCTGTCTCTCTCTGTCTCTCTTTGTCTCTGTCTTTGTCTCTGTCTCTGTCTCTCTCTCTCTCTCTCTCTCTCTCTCTCTCTCTCTCTCTCTCTCACACACACACACACACACACACACACACACACACTTAAAACTTTTTTCCACTTGGCCTCTATTGATGTTCTTTGTTTCTGTGGGTCTCTTCACTAGAGAGAACATGCTGTTCTTGGGGCTTTTGTCTGCATCTGGTTTTGGTCTCCAGTATCTAGTCTGGGGATATATAAAGTAAAAGAAAACCAAGAGAACCCACAACTGTGCCATTCCTTGGTCCCAATGTCCCTAGCTAGTCTTCCTTCTTTCCAAATTTCAGAATCTTCTAGGTTTGTTTTATGTATGAGTTCAGGGATTTAGCTGTACTTGCCAGGAGAAATGGGAATATATATATTTCTTCCATCTCATGGAAAGGATGTTTGCTAGTTAATTTTTAAGACTATACAGAAACATAGATAATGATGAGGAAAAGCTTACTATTAAAATATAAGCCTAGTCTTTACAGCTGGCATCAAAATCAGTCACCAGTGGCTGTTGTGTAACCGTGAGAGATCTTTTTGCCAACTTTGTATTACACTTTTATTATTTATTGATTAGGTGTGCATGTGCCACAGTATTTGTGTGCCATGGTGTAGAGGTCAGAGACAACTTACAGGAATCAGTTCTCTCCTTCCACCATGTGGGACCCAGAGAGCAAACTCAGGTCATCAGGTTTGGCTAGAGAGCAAACTCAGGTCATCAGGTTTGGCCTTTACCTCTTGAACCATCTCATCAACCCCAGATCATACACTGAGAAACGAACTCCCAAAAAAGGTAGTTTGTTGGGTAAATAACTTTAGCAAAAGAAAGGGATGCTGTTTCTTCTAGTACACACTGGGAAAGCTGGAGAGAAAGTTTCCTGGCACATATCAATCACAAATAGCTTCTTAGTTGAGGTGGGACTTGTGTCTGCCTTCCCTTTTCAGAGCTAGAACTTTTTCTAGTTCCAACTTGTGCAGGTCCTGTACCTGCTGTCACAGTTTCTATGAGTTTTTATTTGTCTGGAAGAAGCTGTTTCCTTGGAGTCATGTACTATTTCTGTC